ACCAGTGTATCTAGAGGACTTGGTTAGCTTTAACTATCAACTAAACACAACTACAATTATCTGAGAAGAGAATCTCAATTGAAAAATTTCCTAGATCAGTGTTTCTCAACCCGTGGGTCATGAATCGCTCAAGACTATCAGAAAACACAGATACTTACATTAAAATTTGTAACAGTAGCAAAATTAGTTATGAAGCAGTAACACAATATGAGGATTGTATTAAAGGTTGGCATCATTAGGAATGTTGAGAATCACTGGCCTAGATCATATTGATCTTGGCATGTGTGTAGGGAGACTGTCTTGATTGTTACTTGATTTAGGAGGGCCCACCATACTGTGGGCAGCACCATTCCCTAGGCAGGTGATTGTGAACTGTACAAGAAAGCTAGCTGAGCATAAGCCTGTCTGCCAACCAGCAAACATCATTCTTTGTGGTTCTTGCCACATGGTCTTTGGCTGTGACTAAGTTCCTTAGTCAGAGGTAATGCTGTGTGGGATAGCAAGCAGGCAGCAAAGATCCATTTGTTTCTCTCTGCTCTCCATTTAGGATTAATGTGATTAGCTGCCCAAGTTTCTGCCTTGACTTCCTCTCAATAATGGCCTGAACCTGGAACTGTAAGCTGAATAAACCCTTTCCTCCCTTAAATTGCTTTTGGTAAGAATATTTCATCCCAGAAACAAAAATGAAGCTAGGACATTATGTCTCCCTGCATCACTTCCACTATAGTCCTTAACTCTCCAAAATTTCCACATTTCTTTAAACAAAGTACCACCAGAGGGAAACAAAAAAAATTTTCACTTACATTTTTATATGTGTATCTGAGGAAATCTCTATATATGAGTGTACATTTAGATGGGTAGAGGCCACATATCATCTATGGCTATTTTCATTCTATATGAGGAAGTGTGATTCTTGTAAAAGACCATAATTCAAAAACTGAAAATATTTATCATCTGGCTATCTTCAGAAAAAGTTTACCAACCCATTATCTAAGCATTTTTATTAGTTATACACAGAACAAATAGAGTTTGGATATTTCAAAGATAAGCAGACATACAGATAAAATATAACTCAAAATGTTCACAATGGCAGTATACCCGACCCACTATGGTACCCCTGTTCCCATAAAAATTAGTTAACATGCCAGGCTGTGGTGGTACACGCCTTTAATCCCAGCACTTGGAAGGCAGAGATAAGCAGATCTCTGTGAGTTCAAGGTCAGCCTGGTCTACAAAGTGAGTTCCAGAAGAGTCAGGGCTGTTATACAGAGAAACCCTGCCTCAAAGAAAAAAAAAAACAATGAAAAAACAGAACTAGTTAACACAACTACTATCTTCATTGACTTTGTATTCTCCACCAAATATTTTGATTATTAAGATTTACAAGAGACTGGAGAGACAGTTCAGTAGTTAAGAACACTGGCTGTTCTTCCAGAGACCTGGGTTAAATGCTGAGCACCCACATGGCAGCTCACAACCATCTGTAATTCCAGTTTCAGGAGACCTGATGCCCTCTTCTCACCCCTACATGACAGGGGATGTCCTTCTGTATATATATTTCTTGGCTGTGGGACATGGTGGGAAAGAAACTCCAGCAACACCTACAAGCATCAGGTATGAATATGGTGTACAGATGTAGGCAAAACACCCACACACTTAAAAATATAAATTCATTTAATAAAAAATGTCTTCATGAGCTGAGTGAGGTAGCATATGTAATGAAAGGTTTTCTGTCCCAGCTGGCCCCGTGGCCCTTGAACCCTAAATAAACACATGGAGGCTATATTAGTTATATACTTGTTGGCCGATGACTAGGGCTTCTTATTGGCTTGCTCTGTCTTAATTATTAACCCATTTCTATTAATCTAAGTATTTCTACATGGCCTTATCTTACTGGAGAATGCCTGGCAGGTCCTATCCTCCCGGTTCCTCATGGCAACTCTGTCTGCCTACATTTCTCAGGATTCTCCTCATCTCCTAGCCTATTTTCCTGCCTCATTGGCCAAACAGTGTTTTTATTCATCAACCAGTAAGAAAAACATATATACAGAAGGAACTTCCCCATCACACATGCTTGCTATCCTAGCACTCAAAAAGTTGGGACAGGAATTTAAGACTTGTCCTCTGAAAATTGTTTCTACAGTAATGATATTATAAGATTGACATATAAAACACAGCTTTTGTCTCACTGCTCCAAGTTCTTTGTAATCATAAAGCTATTTGTACTACTGAGACAGTTATGTATCCCACTTTGCACACAAAACAGCATATATTTTCATATACTAAATCTGAACAAGGCAAGTCTTACCTCCTCAGCTTTGCTCTTGACCTCAGTTGGTATTTGGTCATTCTTACAAATCTTCAACTGCTCTTTGGCTTTCTTCATGTCTTTCTCTACTCGTTGCCAGTCAACTTTGATGTACCCAGTATGGTTTGCCAGCTACAATTTTAACAGTGATAAAAAGAAATGAGAAACATGGTCTTTGATATTCCCTTTTGTCAAGATAAATCATGAAATAGGTAACCAACATCCTTCTTTCTATTTTTGGAGACATTTGCTATTTGAGTTTTTTGATGATCTTCAGGCAAAATGTTCATACTATATTCAAGGTTTCATGCTTTGTAATGGAAATAAACAACTGTCCTCAATTGCTGGCAATCTTAATGTATATGCTGAACTCTTCTTTACAAACTTTTAAGAAAGATTAAAAAATAAGATGATAAAATAAAAGTCAAAGTAGTAAGTCCAATTTTTCAAAAAATAAAAATTTTAAATTTAAAAAATAAAGCTGAGGTCAACAATTTTTCAAACAATTGTGGATAAAATAAAATTGATTCAAGTATGTTGTTTCTGATAAATTCGGGCTATCCAACTAATAAAGAGAATGTCTACAGCCCATCAATTAATCCTCCAACAATAGTTTTTTATTTCCTATAAAATTTTTGATATATCTAAAACTGAAACTCTCCATCTTCCTATCTAGAATCTTTCCTTGAATTAGTTACCCAAATAAACTGGAGAAAATATGTACATATCATAAGTAAAACTTTATCACTCATAATCAGTGAAATCCTTATAGAATTTCTTATAGATAGAAATCTTATTGATTTCTATCAATGAGAAAAAGAAAAACATTTGGGCTATAGAGACGCCTCGGTGGTTAAGAGCACTGGCTTCTCTCTTCCAGAGCAACCAGGTTTAGTTTTCAGCAACAACATAGTGGCTCGCACCCTTATAAATGTGAAATAAAATGAGACTAGTGATTAAGACCTCACTCAAATGGTTAGTAGCGTTAAAAATAGTACACAAAAACAAATGCATATACTGTTTTAGGGCATTATAGCTAAGACTACAATTTCTCACAATATGTTAATGGGCAAGTGGAATTTCCAAACATCTAGGAAACTCAGTAGACAAACCTGAAGTAGAAAGAATCCACCTCCTACAGCTGTTGCAGCCAATTTTCCAACTTTCTGGAATATGAAACCAGTGCACCTGTGAAACCAAACCAATATCATACAAAGTGGCAGGCTGTTAGATGTACACAAACCTGAACTTTTGGCAATGTTCATATATTTACCTTGAGATGATCTAGCTCCTTTCTACCATCTTCAGAAGAGGAAGGCCATGCTAGCCTTCAGGCTCCTATAGTCCCCGTTCCTAAGTACACATCATACATTTCAAAGTCCACACTAGCATCCTGGCCCATCTCACTTCCCCTTCTTACCTAAACCACCAGGTTGTATCAGTTAGCAGGTTTCTCTTTTCCCTGACACCCCTTTGTTCTCTACATAGGCCAGGATTTTCCCCCTATTCTCGCTATTCACACTGTCCTATTTTCTCCCTGCCATCTCCACTATTCTCTCTTGCTATTCCCTGTTATTCTTCCTTATCTTGTAGATATGGTCATGTCTTATCTGCTTCTTTTTCTCTTGGCTCTAGACTTTTTCAGATAGCTCTAGGTGTTCTTTCTCTCTTATCCACAATAAAAATCTCCCCCACCCACAACCAAGAAGCAGCCATTTCAGTGGTTTCTTTACTGCACCACTCATATATACTAAGAATGCATGCATGTACCACCATATGAAGTTTGTCAATTAAAAATATATATGCAATTTGGGCATAGTGGTGTACATCTTTGATTCCAGCAGTAAGAAGGCAGAGGCAGGTGGCTCTCTGTGAGTTTGAGGCCAGCATGGTCTACATAGAAAGTTCCAGACATCCAGGGCTATGTAGACAGACCCTGCCTCAAAAAATTATATTCCAATAGTCTGAATACTATTCAAAAGGAAGACATTTCAAACTGGGTTTTTAAAAGATGCAGGCTGAGAAGATAGTTTAGTGAGTGAAAGTACTTGCTGTATACACATGAGGACTTAAGTTTGAATCCACAAAACCCATATAACTGGGTGCTTTAAAAGAATAAAATCTATCTATATGCTATGTACAAGAAACCTACTTTAAATAATAGACAAGTGGTAAATCCATTCATGTGTTTCTGCTGGATGCTGCCCTGTGTGCTTCTTTTTTTGCCTGATTTTGTTATGAAGTTCTCTGAATCTTCCAAGATAGTGGTTCTCAACCTTCCTGATGCTGTGATTCTTTAATACAGTTCCTCATGTTGTGCTGACCCAACCATAAAATTATTTCATTGCTACTTCATACCTGTAATTTTGCTACTGATAATAATCATAATGTAAAAATCTATGTTTTCCAATGGTTTTAGGCAAATCCCTATACAAGGGGCATTCTACCAGAGACAGAAGAGAAATGGAGGGGATGGGAGGAGGGGAAGTAGGGGGAAATTGTGGCCAACATGTAAAATAAATGAAAATATAATTAATAAAAAAATAACCAGCCTGGTCAACAGAGAGAGTTCCAGGACAACTTCCAAAGCAATACAGAGAAACCCTGTCTTGGAAAAAAAAACAAAAAAAATTAAAAATTATAAAAGTGTCATTCTGCTCCCAAAGGGGTCACAACCCACAGGTTGAGAACTGCCATCCTGGAGGATTATCAAACACAAGAATGTCTTGAGGACTCCAAAACTTGGCAACCCAATAAATGACTTTATGAAATTGTATTTCTATATAGAAGTAATAAATAAGAGGAAAATGAAAAATTTAAGCTATAATAACATCAAAATATGAAATATTTATACATATTTAAGAATCTATGTTGATTATATATTGTGATATATTTTTCTCATATAAATAGAGTGTATATAACCTACAAGCTGATAAAAAATCAAAGTGATAGTAATCAGAATAATACCAGACTGGCATCAAGACAAATCATTTTTTAAATGAACTATTTTCATTTTTTAAGTATTTTATTTTGGGGTGTGTGTATATTATGTGTATATGTGTATACATATGTGCACATGTGTAGGTTGCCATGGCATACAGTGGAAGTCAGAGGACAACCTGTACAAGTCAGATCATTCCTTCTACCATGTAGGTCATGAGATTGAACTTAGGTACTCAGGCTAGATGGTAAGTGCCTTTACCAACTAAGCTGTTTTGCTAGCCAAATGACAGATCAATTTAATGCACAAATGGTAAAGTGATTTTAATACAAGTATAAAGACATAAGATTAAATCATGCCCTGTTCCATTCCCATTTCGTGTATGTTTAGATTGTTTCTACTTTCAGGTGTTACAAATAAAACTAGGAATATTTATGTGAAAATTTTTGTATAAACATCTACTTTCATTTATATTTAACTGCCAACAAATACTATGGCTGAGAATACTACAAGTGTGGTGGTATACAACACCACTTGGGAGACAGAGGAAAGAGCATCACAAATTCTAAACCATGCTGAGCCATAGACCCCAATGCAAAACAAAACAAAACCAAAACACACAAAAAATCCTCTTAAAACTCAATACTACAAAAATGACAGCTTTATAGGGGGAAAACATGAAATTTAATAAAAGACAAATCTAAGCGGTAAATAAATACACGTAAAACTTTTTAGGTTTTACCCCTATTTGGGAAAATGGTATCCAATATCACAATGAGAAAACACTATCTGTAAAGGCTGGCAAGAATTTACTAGTATGGCAGCAACAAATGTCAAGGATGTAGCACAACAGAAACACTTGGTCCTTGTCAACTTTTGAGCAGCATCCTGATATTACCTCATCAAGTTGAAGACATATATATGTGTATATACCCAATGACCTAGCAACTACTAGGTACAGATACCAAAGAAATATGTACCCATGCACAATAGGAAATTTGTATATTGCTAGGTTAATTCCAGCACTCAGGAGGCAGAGGTAGGTGGATCTCTGAGTTCAAGGCCAGTGTGGGCTACAGAGATAGTTCCAGGACAGCAAGGGCTATATAGAGAAACCCTATCACAAAAAATTCAGCATTGCTTGTATTATTCAATATCAGACATCACCTGGGCAAAAATATACTATGGTATATTCATATAATGGAATTCTAAATACAAATGACAATAAGAATACAAAAAAACATAAAAATGTTAAGAATCAAAAGAATTCATAGTGATTGTGTTTATTCAAAGTTCAAAACTAGATTAACTACAATAAATTATTAAAATTATGAAGAAAAAGAAAGAAACAACTCCCAACAACTTTTGGAGTTCTGAGGAATACTAGCTATAATTTTTAGCCTCCATGGTTGTTAAATGGGAGTTTAGTCTCCAACTATTCCTTATAGATAGCTGTTCTGTGTAGTTGCATTAGAATAAGATTTTTCAAATGGAGTTTATTAAATTGATGGATTGGTTATCTACTCACTGAACTGGCTACTTGCAAAATAAACATATCAACAAATGAAAACTTCCACATTAATATTTGACACAGCTAATCTAAGTGGATAGCTTCTTAATCCACTACTTGCTGTATTGCCTTGATCTAGAATCTAGATCCTAGATAAACATTCTGAGCCTCAGTTTCTATAAAAAGTATAGATATTAAAAGTACCAAGTTCAGAGTCATTTTAAGAAGGAAATGACTAAAATTAATACCTGACTTATAACAAGACAAGTACCGAACTTGTAGCAAGGGTTTTGGCACCAGACATGACCATTCCATGGTATAGTTAAGGGTACAGTATTTATTGTAGATATGAGAGAAAGAACAGCCAGAGATATCTGGAAGAGTCTAAAACAGAAAGAGGAGTAGATTAAACATGGCCAGTAGACTGGACATGGCTAAGGTATCTGGAAAGAGGAGAATAACAGGGGATAGAAAATAGAGAGAGAATCGTAAGAACAGCAAGAGCAGAGAATAGTTAGAATACCCAGATTATAAGAAGGGTGAGTAGCTGTGTGTGTGGGGGGGAGAAAAGGCTGTGAGATTGGGGTGGAGGCTTTGAAAAGTATAACACATAGTTGTGAGTAAAGGAGGCTAGCATGGACCTTGATATGCTGATAGGTGCCACTGGGATATGTTAATTGGAGAGCCATATGTCTCTTTTGCTAGCGGTAAGGGAAATGACCTTTTCTGGCAAAAGTACTTGAGGAATGCTGGCCTTTATCTAACCACCAGAAATCCTTCTATAGTTCAGGTTGAGTTCATTTCTGGATATTTGGACTGCCTTTTGGAATTTGGGGGATTAGAGTATCCTTTGGGCCTGACATACATATCAAATAGTACTTTAATTTGATGGTTCACTACATGTGCTGACCAATTTCAGTGAAGTCAGTGTGTTTTAATTAATTACTAAATTAGGCACAAAATAACTGAAAATCTTTAACACCACTTACCATCCAGTAACACCTCCAATTAACAGCTGGGTTGCTACACTATACTTTTCAGCTGATGGCCCAGATTCCTGCCCAAACAACTTACGCCACCATGGTTGCTTTTTAGTCAATTCTGCAAGATCCAGTGCCTCAAATTTTCCATCAAAGTTTCCTATAAGAGAATTAAGATATGCAGTTAATGGTTGCTGGGGAAGGAGGAGACATTTTCTTCAGTGGTATAGCCAATAATAAGGTGCCTATGTTCTAGTAAATAAACTCTCAGCCATGTTCCTGTAAACAACCCTAATGAAACTCAATGGGCCATCAAAAATAAAGTATAGTGAAGACAAGACATAACAATTGAATGGGGACTATTTTGGAAAAGGGTGGGATCAGCAGGAATAGGGAAGAACAAAAAGGAGTTGTAAATATGATCAAAACATTATATAGATGTATGAAAAGTAATAATAAATCTAACATTATTTATGATTAGTATATTAATAAAAGCTAAAACTAAGATAAGAAAATATTTGAATTTATAATAAATTATCACTATTTCTAACTAGATTAAGAGATTTTTAAGCAACCAAGCAAATGTAATGCAGAAAACACAATATTCTATTTTAAATAGTA